ACTCGTAATTTCAATTTATGTTTTAATTCCCTCCCAGATAAATATTTCTCTAGACCTAATTTGGTAATTTCAAGTCTTATCTCCAGGACTTCCACAAATAGGAAGATGGAATGCAAATAACTTACACTTATACAATACCTTTCATGTTGTACGTATGTCAACACACTGGATATTCAATAATTTAAGTTCTATTCTTTCTGATTTATAGCAAAATGGTCTGAATATACACAATCTTAATTTTCAGTTTTTGAAAATATTGCCCAGTTTGGTTTGATTTCCACCTAATCACTCGGGGCCTCACCGTCTTGGACCTCACCACCATCGACAAAAAGATCTCGGACCATCACTTCATCTACCTTAACTCCTCAATCCCTTCTCCCCACCGCCACTCAACTCACCTCCATCTCATACTGCCCCTGGAAAAAAATCTCTCTCCTCTCCCTCTGTCTTGGAGTCATCTGAAATCCTTCCCCTCTGGGCATCCTCCCGCAGTGACCCATCCTCCTCGGTCACCCTTTTCCACAACTCCCTCTCCTCCACTCTTGATTCCCTCGCTCCCCTCTCTTCCCGAACCGTCTCCTACTCACGCAAATCACCGTCGACCACTCTATCCTCATCCACCGCCTCCTCTCACCTCAACCTCCACGGCGCTGTCCTTGATTGGTTCAGATCGTACCTCTCAGACCGCTTGCACTTCATCTCCTCAAGTGGCTTCTCCTCTAGCCCTGCACCGTCTCTTGCAGTGTTCCTCAGGGCTTTGTCCTTGGTTCATTCCTCTTCAACATCTATATGCTCCCTCTTGGTGACATCATCTGCAGACATGGAGTCAACTTCCACATGTATGCGGATGACACCTACCTCTACCTCTCTGCCTCCAACCTTGATCCCAGGACCACTGCTGTCCTGACAGGCATCATGTCCTGGATGAGAGCTAACTTCATTCAGTTGAACGTCAACAAGACCGAGGCTCTCCTGTTTGGCTCCCGTCAGCGCCTACTCACCTCAGGCGCTGACAGCATCACCATCCATGGTTGCACACTCCACCTTGCTAAGCCAGTCTGGAGCCTTGGTTTCTTGTTTGACCCTCAACTATGCTTTCTACTTCACATCTGCCCCATGACCCGCTCTGCCTTTCCCCACCTCCGCAATGTTGCCCAACTCCGCCACTGTCTCACACCGCAGGTCGCCGAAACCCTCATACACACCTTCATTACATCGAGGCTTGACCATGCAAACTCACTGCTTGTCGGCCTCCCCAACTCCTCCCTCCACAGGCTGCAGATCATCCAGAACTCTGCAGCTTGTGTCCTCTCCCGCACTAAGCTCCACGACCCAATCACCCATATCCTTGCCCAACTCTACTGGCTTCCCATCACACAGAGCATACAATTCAAGATCCTGGTCCTCACCTTCAAAGCCCTCCACAGTCTTGCTCCCCACTTCCGCCACTCTGCACCCACCCTCTGGAACTCTATCCCGCAGTCCCTCCGTCTCGCCCTCTCCCTCACCACCTTCAAGACCCATGACAAGACCCTCTTCTTCGACCGTGCTTTTGATCTCCCTGCTTCCCCCTCCACTCCCCGTCCTCCATCCTCCCCCACCCCGACTCTCAGCTCAGGTCCATAACTCTGTCTGTTCAGCTCTCTGGGACGACTTCCAGAAATGAAAGGCGCTATACAAATGTAATTTTGTTGTTGTAATTGAGGTGTATTGAGCTGAGCTCTATGGCATATACAAGTCAAATCTGTATCTCAGTTAGAATAACAATTAATAGAAGAATTTGATTTCTAAAAAAACAGATTCATGCCTGAATTGAAATGTTCAATGTTTGCACTATTTCTGTAATAATAAAATAATTTCCTTGAAAACTACATACACTGAAATTGTAGCACACAGAAATGTTTGCTATAATCTATAAGATGTTGGAACTCCAGTGATGTCAAAGCTAAAGATTTGGTGCTAAAAAATTAATAGCATATTTGATATTTAATCTCACAGAAGAAATGAAATGACTAGCTCAGTGGGTGGAGTCCTGTAGCTCAGTGGTTAGAGCACCTGTTTCGCAAGTGAGAAGACCTGCGTTCAACCCTCGGCAGGGCGAAACATTGGCCAAGTTTCTTAACTCCACACGCCCCTGTTTACCTAGCAGTAAATAGGTACCCGGTTGTTGGTCGATTGGCGGATCGCTTTTCCGGGGGTAATAATTCCTTCAAAAAAATAATAGTAAATTGGTCACTCAATCCACAACTGTTTGTGGGATGCTGCTGTGTGAAACTGGCTGCCACGTTTCGCCCACAAAATATACAGCCAATTCACTATACAGGATATTCTATGAAGCGTTTTGCGGAGCTATATCAAATGCAAGGATTATTATTATTATTATGAACTACTTATAGTTCTATTTGGATCCCCATCAAACAAATGCAAATGAAAAAGTATATGGTGCGATATAATTATTCAAAACAAGTTTGGTAATTTTTTAAAATATTAACATTTTAACATGCTTTTGATACTCAAGTACTTTCTATATAGTGTTTCAAATAATAACAGTTTAAGTTTTCTAACTGCATTCGCGTTCCATTGAAAGTATTTGTGAAACATAAAATGAGAAAGAGGCAAAGGTTTCAAGTTCACATGCCTCCCATCAGAAGAAAGAAAGCATAATCAATTAATGTACTCAATTAAGAAAGGAAGAAAAATAATTTATAATCTAGTTTGGCTAGTTCCTGGTAGCAAGGTCTCCTTTGACTTTCAGCCATCACAAGGATCATCCTTTCATGGTAAAACAATCAGGCCATAGATTCCAATAGCAACTGAGGAAGTAATATTTGGCATTTTACATGTTCAATGGTTAACCATTTTCAACACTAGCTAGTCATTAAATCTGAAAGGTTTACAATGTACCCAAATTCGATTGAGGGAATAGCAGTTATTGCTGATTTAACCAAGTAGAAGTTCAATACTATTAGAGTTAATATTTTACAGTTCAAGGTAACCAGAAGGTCATTGGCAATGTACTTTATTCTCAAGTAACATAGTAGAATACTTTAGCACATTTTATTGCCTCCTAATAAAATTGATCAGAAAAAATTTAAATCGCACATGCTTCAGCATATTACCACAGTAATGTTTTTATTGCAGATCTTTACACAAGTGTTTATGAATTGCATATTTAATAGTACATTTTTAAATTGTGTATTCCGTGGGTTCTTATTGAGAGCAGTGTATGGTGCATTTTGTTTGATTCTACATTTTATTCTACAAATGTAGTGCATGTGACATTAAATTATATTAAATTCTATGAATCAGTTCCTTCCTAGCTATCACTGTCATCAGCAAGCCAAGGGTCACAGTGACACTGTTCATGAATCATCATGTGAGATTGGGTTCACAAGTCATCTACAAATCCCTTCACACCCTGGCACCTCTCTACCTTTTAGACCTTCTCTCACCCCACTCCATTACCCGCTGCCTCTGCTTGGCTGACTGGCCTCCTGCTGATCCGTCATCCCCTCTGCTTCACCATACGTGGTCGCTTTTTCAGCCACAATGCCCTGAAGCTTTTGAACTCTCTCCCTCAATTCCCACGTCTTGCCCCTTCCTTCCCCTCATAGATTATGACAGAAGACCTTCCTCTTCAACTGGGTTTACGATCACCTCCTCTGTTCCCCCAGGTCAGCGTCGGACTCTGCTACTTTTAAGCAATCCGCGTTGCTATATAACTACAAATAAAGAGTGCTATATAAATACAAGTTTTTGTTGTATGCTGGCTTTGGTACTATGCTATCTTTACGTTGAACTTTTGCAACTCCTTTGCCTGAGATTGCAAATGTCAACCTGAACCTATTTTTGGTTCTCAAAATTAAATGGCTGCGGACAAAATAAATAATAATTTGGTCACTCAATCCACCACTGTTTGTGGGACACTGCTGTGCACAATTGGCTGCCACGTTTTGCCCACAAAATATTAAATCAATTCATTTTTCAGTAAATTCTATGAAGCGCTTTGAGACATCTAGTGATGTGATAAGGCGCTATATCAAATGCAAGTATTATTATAACTTTTTGTGTTGCTTTTGTTCAGCAACAACAGCACTGTAGTTATAACTATGGCTAATGTATAGGAGCTTTTTAATCTATAATAGCACTGGTTAAACAGCATGATCACATTTACTTTTTACTGATGAAAGTTAGATGACTCACTGCAAATCTTCAGATTTGGAGTAGAAACTAGAAGATATTTTCCTCCTGTTGGTAAGATTATGTAACATTTAGGTATGTCTAGTGATTGGAGAAAAATGTGAGTTTCTGCAGTTTGGCCACCTTGTTTTGAAAATAGCACTGTACATTTTAAGCGGCTAGTAGCATATGTGATTTGAAACTGCAATTATGGCCCTCTTGACGCTGGTCAGGAAATCTACCGATTTTTCTCTTCCTCTGAGGCTTATTGAACATCAGAGGTATTTAATCATGTTCTGAGCAGCAGTCAGCCAGAGTACTACAGGTTTTGGCAGAGTGCTGAGAAGTCTGTACTGTATTTAGGAATGCCATATCCTACTATTATAGTTGTTGTGTATTATCTCAGCAGGAGGTAAATTAGGTAAAAGGGAGATTAGAGCTACAAGTGGCAGTTTACAAAGTTAATGCGATATGTACCCAGATTCTTTGGATGGGGAAATAAAATGCATCTGGAAGCATAAAATTTCATTTGAGATTTTAAAAACCTTCCTCTCTATCTAAAATCTAGACTTTAATTATTTTTAAATAGGTATTTAATATGTTGAAATTGTTTGTAGTCAAAACTATAATCCTTCTGTACTAATGTCATGCGTTTTTGTACTGGATGGTTATTTTGTTAAAGGTCTTTCCATACTTTGTTGAGTTTTGTTAGTATATTAAGAGATCTGTGATCTGTGTAAATAAATAACATGTTAAAAATTTATAGTAAATATTGAAAATATTTTGCGTTAATGTGGTTTCTTTGTTTATTCCCTCTTTAGAATCTAGAAGAGAAATATTCATTTCTAGTAGAATGGTACGATACAATTGCATCTATAATTCGGCGTTACCAACTTCTTTATTATCTAAAAGATGGATCTATTGAAATGGTAAGCAATTTTTTAGTTTAATTAAAAAAGGGTGAATCCATGATTGTAAAAAAAATGTGTCTTTTAGTTTGGTGGCTTAAATGCTCCCTGCGATGAACTCAACATTCTTGACTGAATTTCATTGGGACATGAGAATTGGTCTAAATATCCCTTGGTCAGTGGGAAAAACTGATCGGTGTTCCTGTGCCTGATTGTGGGGGAACTGTTGTTCCAATAGTATGATTTCAGTCCCTCCTCGAGCTGTTCCCTCTATCGCTTAACAGGTTTATTATGTGAAGAATCCAATCTGGAGAGGTCCGATTTCGATCACTAATCGATATTGTATTAGCTGAGAGTCTCCACAATTGACCTCAGCATTTCCCATTCCTCATTCCTCAATCGTCTCTTTGTGGGGTATATTAGGGGGCTGTATATTCCAGTACAACAGAAAATAATCAAATTTTTCAGAAGAGGAATGAAAGGGACAAAATTGATGAGGGAGATACATGTTCTTTTCCATCCTAAAAATGGAAAGGAATCCACTATTCTGAAACACTTTAATTTGTTGACAGGGTGCAAATGATTCAGCAGAAAGGGTAACATTCAGAGCAAGTGTTATTAATAGAAACAGTAATCAGAGTGACAAGATGCAATGCTGGGGTAAATCTCTCAAGACCTGAAACAGTAACCAGCAGATGATAATGCAATGCCTGAATGTCCAAGTAGCATGACTCACTGCAACTGAAAAAAATCTTTCCACCATTGTTAACGACTCGGTGAATCTTTCTGTAATTTAAGGAGTGGTTTGTACAATAGATTTTTAAAGTGCGTTTTATTTTTGACAACTCTGCGCAGGAAAATTAAATGTGTAAAGCTTCTCACAGTGAGATATTTTAAACAGTTTCTGCTAAAAAAAAGTTCCTTAAATTTATTGCCACCCAATCTCAGTTTAGTCAAAGAAAGATTCTGTTTCTAAATTTGAAATGCTATTTTCTTTATCCTCTAAAATGGATTCCATTTTAATTGTTTCATAACTTGGATAATTATCTAATTCATATTGCTAAATCTATTGATGGCCCTAATTCTCTTAAGAAGTAAATAATCTCTGAACTCTAAACATCCATGGAAGGAAACTACAGAAAGTAACAAAATTTCTATTGTAAAGGAAATGTTTTTATTTGTTTGTTGGTGATTTGCTTTATAACAAAATATGCCCCCTGTTTTGACTATGCTGAAAATATGATGACCTCCGAACAAAGACATTCAATGTGATGCCACCGAGGAAATTTGTAAAGATTAAGGGCCAAAGTATTAAAGGGAAACTGTTGACATGAATAGATGATTGATGGAGGAACAGAATAATAGCAGATTAGGAATAAATGAATATTTCCTCAAATTAACAGTCAATTGAAGTCATAATTCAGGACTTCCCATTCTCCAGTTCATAATCCATATATGTATCTTTTATATGGAATTCGGCACAAGAAGAATTCAATCAGAATTTGCAGATAATACCAAATAAGGGAGCATGGCAAATTGACGAATAATTCTGGAGATTACAAATCGATAACAGTTCAGATATGGTCAGATATGGAGGAAACTAAATTCCACCTGGATAAGAAGAACTACGAATGGAATTGATAATGGAGTGAGAGGATAGATGTTCAATAAAGGCTTAAAAAACTGACGATCCATTTGCTAGAACAGAAAATGAACAATGTAAGAACATTGATAGACATGTTCAAAATTATGAAAGAATTCAAGACCATAAATGGTAAAAAAAAAAATCAGTTCCCATAGGTTGGTTAGAATAGCGGGCATAAACTAAAGATTATTATTGATATTTAGTTTTAATCAAAAAGGAGAGGCTAAACATTTTTAACATCCAGAATTAATTGGATGTGAAACTGGTTCCCAGAAATATGTAATTGAACCCAAGGTTACGGGGGGAAGAATGTAGAAATAGGATTAAATGAAATGGCTCCAGTTGGGAATTAGCATGAAATAAAAAGAAATAATGTACAGTATAATTTCTCTTTTTAAAGCTGAAATTTGTTCTTAATTTGGTAAGAGATATAGTGGAATAGCATAGAAGATGCTAGTGAATGCTATTTTATATTCATGGAAGACACCGTCCTTTCCAAAACATTTCTGCTGTAAAAAAACCTCAAGGAAACCATTATTTAATTTTGAATGTAAAGATGTCACTTTAGGAGTCGATGGCCTTAGGAATTCTGTTGTGGAAGAGATTAAAGCTTATGCTTGGTTTAGTGGGAGGTTAAGTGCACTTTGATAACAAGAAATCTGTGGATATTGCAGGAAGTGTCCTAAATGTGTTCACCCTAAATAGCTTTGCCCCCATAATTCTGATCATTTAAATATCAGCTGTTTATTTTCAGTGCCTGACAATTTTTCTATTGCTTATATTCTGTTCTGGGAGTGAATTAGACCATTCTGATGATATGTTGCTCTTATTTACTGATAAGATGAGGAGCTTAAAATAACTGGTACAAGAAGGATAGAACAGCTGATCTTTCTGAATCCCTGGAAAATAGGATGAAACAAATAGGCTTTGAAATCGGATTTTCACTACTAATCATTTCAATACACCATGATCATCAGCCAAAACAGATGTTGCAGAATATTCTTATATCAAGCTGGAACAGTTGGTGCCTTTCATTGTTATTCACATTTAAATGTGACGACATACTAACTGCGCTAAAATATTCATGATGTATTTTTAGAAACAGAGATGGCTTATGTAAAATCCAGTGTATTATTTGCACTTGGCTAAAAATTCATATGTACAGGTCATCAAAATCAGTATTAAGTCACAGCTTTTGCAGCAGACTTCATGCTTTTATTGAGACCCCAGTTAAAGAGTCCGCGGGGTGGGGGGAAGAAAAGTTGATTGATCTTGAAGTTTCTGCTTTTGTTGCTACGTTTCACAAAAAAGCCCAATTGAGTTTTTTTATATTCTGAAATGCATCTGTACCTTTGAAATTATCTATGTTATTATGTAGGTTTAGATGAAGACATCTTATTAATTGATTGAAGAACTAGGGCAGTTCTACTTTACAGCAGTGTTTCTTGATTTTTGATGTGAGGTCAAGAATGAGCAGCAGTATTTAAAACTGAGGAGTGTTGGGTGGGAGGTTTATAAAAGCACAATAGGCCACTTCTAAACTGAGAACATTCAGACAGAGTCAATCAGTGCTTTTTCTTGTACTTCCTCTCAACCAAATTAACAGTGGCAATAATTGGAGGGTGGAAAACTAGTCAGCTACTTACCCTGCTAGTTGTGAGATAAAAATAGTAGAGGACAAAGAGCATAAAATGAGAAAAGAAAGAATTAAAAGATCTAGTCTGCAAGAAGGAAAATATGCGTTATGCTGTTTATAGCAGTGTTATTTAATTGAACAAAAACAGGCTAACAGGGTGTAATCTTTCAACCTAAATGCAATTATTATTTAGGTGATCTTTTTTGCCTCTTTACAGAAAGTAAAGGTGGAACACTCTCAGAAGAATTGTCTAATCTTATCTATTTTATGTACTGTTTTCTTTCTTTGGCTCAGACTTTGACTACACGAATCTGTGTTGGTATGTTTTTCTTTCCTTACGTTTTTCATGTCATAATCCCCAACTATGATTGATAAGTTGAACCATGGTCTCTTTTCATGAGATGTTTTCCTTCTGTTGTATTTTTCACTTGATGTAACTTGTTTTCACTCCTTCTCTCAAATGAATTCAACTAAGATTAAAAACTTACTATGTTCAAATTATCCTGTTGGCTAGCATGGTGTCCTAGCCAACAAATCCCCTGAATAAAATTGGTCTTTCAATTCATGGCTATTTGTAGAATATTGCCGTGCGCAAATTGTCTGCTGTGTTTTGTACAAAATACAGTCATTACACTTTATGTTAAATCCTACAAAGCACTTTAAGATGCCCTTCCTCTCAAAAGTTCTAGAACACGTTGTTGCCAACCAACTTCGCGCTCACCTATCCTCCCACTCCCTCTTCAAACCTCTCCAATCCGGTTTCCGCTCTGCCCACAGTACAGAGACTGTGCTTGTGAAAGTCACAAACGACATCCTCTCTATCTGTGACCAGGGCTCCCTCTGCCTCCTTGTCCTCCTGGACCTCTCCGCCGCGTTCAACACAGTCGATCACACCATCCTCCTCCAATGCCTTTCCTCCGTCATCCACCTCAGTGGGACCGCACTCGCCTGGTTCGAGTCCTACCTCACAAACCGCCAGCAGTACATCTGCATAAACGGCTTCTCCTCCCGCTCTCACCCGGTCCCCTGTGGGGTACCCCAAGGATCCATCCTTGGCCCCCTCCTCTTTCTGATCTACATGCTCCCTCTTGGGGATGTCATCCGCAGACATGGGGTACACTTCCACATGTATGCAGATGACACCCAACTCTATTTTTCCACCTCTCTTTGTGACCCCCAGTCCCCTGATGTTCTAGCAGCCTGCCTGTCAGATCTCAGGGGCTGGATGAGCACAGACTTCCTTCAGCTGAACGTTGACAAGACGGAAGCCATACTCTTTGGCTCTCATCAACTTCTAAAATCGCACGGCTCTCACCTCCTCCACCTACCCGACCTCCCCCTAAAACTCTCCGAACCCGTACGCAACCTAGGTGTCAATTATCCTTCCTCCCCCAGATCCGGTCCTTCTCCAGCACCGCTTTCTTCCATCTCCTCCCTATTTTCAGGTCTCTGCTGAAGACCTTTCTTTTCGACCGCGCCTTTGGTCACCTTCCTCCCCCTTCCCCTGGCTCGGTCCCGGGATTCGTTAATGCAAAGCGCTCTGAGATGCCGTCCAGCCTGGAGGGCGCTATATAAATCCAAGTTGTTGTAAGATATCCTCTTGATGTGAATTGCAAGGATTATTATTATAAGTAAATGTACTAAGTGTGTCTACTATTCCCAAATCACTTACAGTATGATATGAAGAGCCATCGTCTTTTTCTGAAACGAACCAAGTACGAGGATGTGCATGAGGATGACTTATTCCTTGGGAACAAACTTAAAGTCTATGGCCGTCTTCTTTTATTGGCAGATTATGGGGACCAATATACTGCTCGCATACTGAGTACTAGGAAACAAAGGTGAGAACTTAGCTATTATTTGCAGTATTATTTAATTTTACACTGGAAATGTCTCAAATTATTGCACAGGTAATTATCATCAAGTGTGGTTAGTAAGTATAGGACGACACCTCAATTTAACTTGTCATTTGAAGGATGACATCTGACAAGGAATATTTTTCACCACTGGGGATACGTTCGTATTTAATAATACTTGCAGGTCCCCAAATAATTGCCTTTCCAACCAAGATACCAAACTTATTTGGATTTTAAAAGATTCACTCCCAATTTAATACCTGAACTCCAGAAATTAGCAAACATTAAACTTTGACTCCTCACTACCTTTTATGCAAACCAGTTGCACACTCCCTGTTTTATTGTGCAGTCCCAAACTTGCCATTGGCTATGAAAATGGTTGCTGAATATTACATTAGATCTATTCTGATAGAATGTGCTAGCATAGATACAGATAGAGACAATCAAATCTATGCTGGTATTCCTCCCCCCTCCCCTCCGCCCCTCCGCCCCCATCAGTCACATAATCTCATACTCTTTCCCCATACCCTTTAATGTTTCTCTATTTCAAACTTGTATTCAATTACCTTTTAAAATAATTTATGGACTTGGCTTCAACAATTTTGTGGCAGAGAATTCCATCTTCTGTGCAAATAAATATTGTCTAACCTCCCCTTTTATTCCTTTGTGATTATCTTAAATGTATGTCCTTTCATTATTGGTAGACAATCTAGCATTCAAAGTAATCCACCTTGTTATTTTTATACTGCAAAATACTTTTAGGTGAACTTATTATAAATCTGTAAAGATTGTAGGAAATCCACTATTCACTTAAAAGAAGAATATAATACACCGATTATGTACAGCTGCTTCTAGACAGTTGGTAAAGTATTATAACAACAACAGCAAGATTACATTTGTATAGCACCTTTCACGTCGGGAGGATGTCCCAAGGCACTGGACAGTGTACAGCAGTTCAGACCTGAGCTGGGGTCAAGGGGGGAAGAAAGGAGGGGAGGGGAAGGGGGGTGGCCAATGGCATGGTCGAAAAGGATAAAAAGAGGATAAAACTAGTAAGAAACAGTGAAACTAGTTTGCTTGTTAATATATCCCTTTTCCCAAGTTAACCAACTTGTTTCTCTAAATTTGATAGTTTAGAACTTTCAATATGTTTGCTGTGAACCACATTAATGTACTTAAGGTTTCTACTTTACTGTATGTTCCTTTTAGAGCTGACGATGAACAGCAAAAATACAATGGCAAGCAAAACTACATTGTTTTCTTTTGCCTCTTAGTGGATGAAGGTGGTCCAAGTTTTGCCTATTTGCCAATTTTGTATCTGGAAAACGAGAACAAACCAGTGATCAAACTGGGCAACACAATTTCCCTCATGATAACACTGGTCTATTATTATATTATTTTTCATCCAAGGGATCAATTTGGTCTTGCCTGCAATTGCAATTGATGTGCCTGTGTTTCCGTAGATCTAATGTCTGACAAATGTGACTTCAGTAACTTAGATGGGGTTTTACATTCAGCCGAGAAGAGATATAATTTATAAATGTGTTGTTGAAGTCTTCAAAATGAATTTATTGACCAACCTTTGAAGAGTTCATTTTATTTAATGACTATCATAACTTATATATTGTTTATTGAAAGTTGTGTTTGAATTTCATTTAATAATAATAATAATCCTTGCATTTGATATAGCGCCTTATCACTTCTTTGAGACGTCTCAAAGCGCTTCACAGAATATACTGTAAAGTGAATTGACTGTATATTTTGTGGGCAAAACACAGCAGCCAATTGCGCACAGCAGCATCCCACAAACACTCGTGGATTGAGTTATCAAAAATTTTGTTAATTTTTTTTGAAGGGATTATGACCCCTGGAAAAGCGATCCATCAGTCGACTAACAACCAGGTTCCTCCTTACTGCTAATTGAACAGAGGTGTTGGGAATAAGGAAACTTGCCCAACATTTTGCCCTGCCCGGTAATCAAACCCAGGTCTTCTCGCTTGCGAGGCGAGTGCTCTAACCACTGAGCTACAGGACTCCTCATTAGTGCATTTACAGCACCTTTGTTAGAATGTTTTAGCTTTTAACTAGATGTTAATTCATATATGTATAGGCTATAATTAAAGGTTTGCAACTAACTGCCATTATAGGAGCTCATTTAGTTTTGACAAAGCTAGATTTGCCTTGCTTTCTGTTCCATAAAATTAAATATTGGATCAAAATCTGTTATTGTATATTTTGTGATTTATGTCTAGGAACTGCAGTTTCTTCTAACTTGTAATATCTTGTTTTTTATCCATTTTGGATTTTTTTTTAAACATTCTTAAAATTTGCAACAATTAATTTTTTTGTTTCTGTTTTGTTTCAGAACCCTGGGTATAATAAAACCAAATTATGAGGCCAAAGTAGGAAAAATAATTGACATGATTTACAGATCAGGTCTGACAATAACAAAGGCAAAAATGACAAACATAACACGGTAAGTAGTTTTGCGTTGCTTTAAACTAATACCAGATAAAAGATAATGATATCTTTTAAAAATATATTACATTTTAAAACCTGTTACATGGAAAACTGGTTAACAATATTAATAAAGTGATGAACTACACTGTAACTTTCTTCCAAAGAAAAATGAATTGTCTGCCTCAGGAAATGGAATTTCAAATTAATTATTTGATTTGGTACTTCCAGCATCGTATTTTGCTTCTGGACCAGACTGTTTAGTTTGCTATTGATCCATATTGGTGAGACTTTCTATTAAAGTCTAACGTTAGGCAGTAACTTGATCTGATTCATCATTCAAAATATTTACCTTCTAACTTCACACAAGAGTGGAATGCATCATACTTGATTTCATCAAACTTGCTTTATGTTTGGTGGGGGTGGGCAATATTTAGTTTATGGGAACCAATTATCATCATAATTTGTTTTCATTACTGAAATATTTGTGTGAATTAAATTAATTTGTGATTAATGTAATGCATTCTTGTTGAATGTAGATTTGGTGATTATGTAGTGTAAAAATAAATTAAAAGTGAAAATACATTTGGTGCCACTATCCTTCTAAAGGTGATCAGATGATCAATCGTATCTTGTAATCCTCTATCATGCGGATGTCAACTGCCTTGATGACAAGTCAGTGAATGAACCGTTAAAATTTCTATTTTGAAATTGTTATTAACCAGTTCAAAACAACCTTGTGAAAGACAAAAAATAAATAATTGCCAAATTCATATATTGTTTTCATGTTCACTTTAATTAATTTAGGTCATTGAATATGTGCTGAGGTACTGAATGGGCCATTGCAGTGAGTTTTTGATGTATTGCAGGCATTGAACCTGTTAAATTTGGTTATTATATGGATTGATTCACAAAGATCTACAATTCGCAGTCTGCACTGTGTGCACCCAGTCATCAGATCAGTTGGTGAAAGAGAAATGTTGTATTTCTTCTTAGCATAGTTACTGGCAAAGCGTAGTCACTACTTATTTAATTATACATTTATGTCATTGGCGCTAACAGTACCATTTTGTGTGCAGCAGTTTGATTAACAATGGACTTACTATAGCTTTGTGGCATCAGTGGGCAGAGGTTTTTTACTGCTGTTGCAAAAAAAAATGCAGTTGAGGTGCTTGAGTTACTGGAACACTGCAGTGCGAATGACTGGAGATGTTAGTGAGATCCTAAGTAACATTTAACTGTGGAGGAGGGAAGTAAAATTAATACATAGTTTTAGAAACATTCAGTTAAAAGGTGCAATTTAACAAAGTCGGTTTTTCCCAAACATAAGGCTTAATCTACAAAGAAAAATGTCAGCAAAAGATAACTTGATGCTGCAGATATGTTTTTGTTTTCCTCATTTTACTTTTAATTATTTTTCAGATAACTAAATTTAATTTCCCATTTTAAAATACTCAATATAGTATATTTTATTAATATTTTTAAAGGAGGGGTAGAAAGATGCTTAAAATGTGTAATTTTAAGATTCTGTATTTTAAGGATTTAAACTTTGTTTATTGTTACATAAGGAGGTTAAAGTAAAGCATTTTGCCTAGAAATCACAGTCACTGTAAATCAGTACAATTCACAGTAACTTTGAAGTGCATGAAGAAGTTCTTGATGATATTGGCATTATATCAAATGCAAGGATTATTATTTATTTTAGAATGAAGGTCTGGATGAATAGATTGTAGATGTGAAGTTGGAAGACAGCAGCTCAGTCTGAGGAACAGAAATAAAAGCTCCATTTGGATAAATATTTATAGAATCATATAGTTACAAAATTAATATTCTCATTCAGTAACTAAACTAATGCTGGGGTTAGATGTGCAATCAAAGAAAATAAACCTTTGTTTTTGAATAGGTCAGATCTGATAGACTCTATAACAAATGAGGCATGTAACTAGATAATTTGGAATAAGAGCTGTGTATGAATGTTTTCTGCTATTTGCTACTGCTATACGATGGCAGAGCCAGTTTCATTGTGGGTTCCATTAGAAGAATGCAGGCTGTAAAAGTAGTTCTGGTTGTGCAAGTGATGGCCAATTTGCACCCTGAACCTGCCATAACAAAAACGTGCAATGAATTGTATGCTTCCACAAAGCACATCACTAGTTAGCTGCTTAAAAATCTGTGCTGAGATATTTCAGATATTCCAAAAAGTTAACGCCAGGTTTTATGGTAGGATGTAAGGGAATGTTTAGTTGTTATGTTTGTAGATGCAATGATTTTGACAGAGCATTCCAACGTATTTAGTCTCTTTATTAATTTTAGCGATCTTCTGCAATATTTTATCTGTGGCCCTGGCATTGCATTGGAAATTATGGGAGATCAAGCTATAACTAGCTGGAAGAAGCTACTTGGAATTGTTGATGAAAACAAACCTTCAAGTGAATCAACAGAAACCATCCAAAAGCTTTATGGCATCAGTGATATTAGAAATGCTGTTCATGCTTCTAATTGTGTTTCGTCTGCAGCTCGAGTAAGTGTCTACATATTTTTGGGGGAGGGGAGGGTTCAATAGAAAATTGGCTTGAACTGGCTATGGTATTTAATACTTGGTATAAGGCAGCAATCTGATTTTTATACATACAAGAAGGCTGGGGAACTTTACCTGCATTTGTTCCAGAAGAGAAATGGTCAAATATTTTAAGAATTTTGCAACACAGAAGAGGCATTCGATCAATTGGCTCTCTGAAAGAGCTATATGATTAGTCTCTTAGTTTTAACCGTATAGTTAGTGACAGTATTGGTTTTGAGATACTGAATACTCAGAAAATGGGGCATAGAAAATGGTGCAACTTCTCATGGAGTATTTTGGTGATTCACTCATCATTCGTTTTCTATTTTTTATAGGAGTTGGAGATTTTCTTCCCATCAGGCTTCGGTTTAGGACCATCAAATACAGCAAAGTGTATTGACTGCACTTTATGCATTATTAAGCCCCATGCTGTTGCTGAAGGTAAGTGTGCAATTTAGTGCAGCAGGCAAAGCTCTGCAAAGTGCTGCTCTGTTGCAAGCTGAGAAAAATTAACTCTGCCTAGAGAATTAACCAAGAAAAATCTCTGATCACTTACTTGAATGCTTTCATAGAATTGGCTCTGTGCACTGGTAGTATTTTCATTGCAGCCTCTCAGAATCCTGTGGAGTTTATTTGATCATTTTATGTAGATCAGCATGATCTCACTACAGGCCGCACCAGGATTGTGATAGGAAATGAAAATGCTAGTTAATAATCATTGTAACAAAGGTGAAGAAGTGCATGCACTTACGCAAATAATAATTTGAGTCATTGGCACAAAGAAACACCTATTTTGCTTTCAGTGCCTAGATGAAGGGCTATTTACTCACAAGCAATGGGTCATTTTCTCGTGCACTTCTTCATTTTTTAAATTAAAGAATTTTCGTTATTTCCAAAGGTTTGTCACTTAGGAACAACTTGCATTGTATAGCGCCCTCCACGCAGGAGTTAGCGCTTAACAGTGGCGGAGCCTGACTCCGAGCCAGTGGAGAGGGGAGATGGGGGGAAATGACCCTAAGCACCGTCGAAAAGGAAGGTTTTCAGACTGGACTTCAAAAAAGGGGAGAGATAGGGCAAGGCGGAGGGATTGAGGGAGAGTGTTACAGAGTTTCGGGGCGTAGTGGTTGAAAGTGCAACCTCCGATGGCGGGGTGCGAGGGAGAGCAGGCCAGTCGAGCCAGTCGAGCGGAGGCACCGGTTGGTGGATTGGGGACTGAGGAGGTCAGAGAGGTAGGGAGGAGCCAGAGAGTGAAGAGATTTGAACACAAGAGTGAGGATCTTGAAGTCGATCCGTTCACTGATGGGGAGCCAGTGGAGCCTGGCCAGAACTGATGAGATGTGGGTACGGAGTTTGGTCCGGATAAGGATGCAGGCGGCAGAGCGCTGAATAAGCAGGATCTTTTGAATAGTGGAGCTGGAGAGACGGGTGAGAACTTCCCTTATCTTTACAATAGGGGATTATAGTATTGATGAATTTGGAATAAATTATAAGAGCCTACAAGTTATGATAATAATAATTATTCTTGCATTTGATATAGCTGCTTATCGTCTTGTTGAGACATCTCAAAGTGCTTCTCAGAATTTTACTATGAAGTGTGGTGAATGCGGAAGCCAATTGTATTTGTAGGTGAATGCGGAAGCCAATATTCACATAGTAATGTCCCACAAACACTATTGAAGTAAGAAACCAATTTTATTTGGGGGATTTTTGACCAGAACAGTGGGAGTGTTCCATTATCTTTACAAACAGTGCCACAATATCTTTAACATCAACCTAAACAGGAATACGGACCTTGGTTTTAACATCTCATCCGAAGGGCAGCACCTCCAACAATGCAGTGCACCCCCAGCATTGCATTGGAGTGTCAGACTAGACCATGAGTTCAAAACCCTGATGTTGGGCTTCAACTCACAACCTTCTTTAAAGACTACTTTTCTTCACTTCTGCCATATTCCCACCTCTTTATGAATCTTTGTGAGATTAATATTTTACAAAGTTAGCAGCTAATAGTTACTTATTATTTACAACAAAGTATTCCAGTGTAGCAAAGCATAAACTCTATACACAAATGCTTGAATTAAGGAGATTACTATACATGGGAATAGGCACAAGAAGATCCCCATGTTTATAGTATACTGTGATTGAGCACAAAGAGTGGTGATTCTAAGACATTTAACACGCTAACACAAAGTTTGAGAAAATGACCTTGAGCAAGCATGAGGCGTAGAATCTAAATGTTCCAGGCTGGTCAACAGAGAGCCTTGACTGTACGAGGTTTCAAATGGCATCCAATTAGGATGTAACACAGCATGCCTGGACCTCCACTACGAGATAATTCAAGTGCAGGAATGCCCTAAGGGAAAATATCCATTTTAAAGTCATGGTGCACATATAAATATAATTTTGGATCCCAATTCATCAAATAAAATAAAATTGAGCCCTAAATCCTTTAAATATTAAAAGATCAAGTAAGTGACCCGCATATTTACCATAAAGCTATGTAAATCTAAATTCTTGTAATCGATTGTGGTATTGAACAAGCATACCTCTGAATAGTAACAACATTATCCACATTAATTTATTACAATTACTATCTCATGGTGTCAAGTGTAGATGTTTTAGTTTTTAACAGTGATGGATTAAATGGTCCTGATACATATCATGGTAATGGATTTTTTATCAGTCAGTGACACTTTACTAATAGTTATGCTAGACCAGTGCTTTTGAATAACTGTCAGTATCAGCGTGGGAGTTGATAACCAAGTCTTTCTGCTTCTACAAGCTGGTAAGCAATGACCTTATGTACTAAATAATAAATACCAAAACAATCTGAGGTAACAAAAACAGCCATTCTATCTACAATTATGCTACTTTTAGATTTTATTGAAACCCTGGTGCACATTTTTTCAATGGCATATTCAGTATACACTTTTCAGCAATACATTATCTTAGTGTCTGCACTTTAAACTAGTTTTACGGTTTCCCAATTTTGGGTTTTCCAAAATACAGGGCAGGTACTCTTACAAAGCTGTTACATTTGCAGTTGACAATTTTTGGTTGTTAATTTTGTGTCTTTCCGTGTTGAAAATATATCAAAGCACTGCACAGATAATTATAGAGAATTAAAATATAGCTGAGTTGAGCCGATAAGCTTGTTTCAGTGTTGTACAGTTTGTTCTGTCAAGTGAGTATCTTGGCCAACCAGATTTGGTCATTCATCGCATGGCTGTTAGTGGACTTTGCTGGCACAGATAACTGCCTGGTTTTTCAAATAATATATGGCAGCAATAGACAAGGCAAACAGGATGCTGGGCGACTTTGCCAAATTAGTGCAGTTTTGATTTACTGAAGCTATAATCAAATTGTACAATTCCCTGGTCAGGCCCCATCTGACATTCTGTTGGCATGTACGGTTGCCATCACATAAAGGAGCTGCCCAGTCTATAGATAATTGGAATTGCATAAGAGAGTAACCGGGCTGAATCCAGGGTTGAGGACTGAGCTTTGCAGTAAGTCGAGATACATTGGGTGCTTCAAATGGTTTACAGAGAGTAAATCCAGAATAGTGTAGCACAACACTGGGTTGTGAAGTGCCATTTTAGGATAGTCAGCAAGAAGTATTTTACACAAAGCTTAATCAACAATTGTAATAGGTTATCAGAAAAAGTAGCCAAAGCTAGGACACTACTTATTTAAGAAATGGCTTGATGCAATAATTAAAAGACAGTAGGTTGGTATTCTGGAAGGATGAGATCAAATGGCTTCAAGGAACTTCTTCATTCAAACCTTTTATTTTGATGTTCTAGTTCAGAACTTTGTTCTTGGGTGTCAATTGAACAATCATGAAAGCTCGTAAATTCTTGGTGGGCAAGAGAATCTGTTTGAAAATGTTGTGTGTAATAAATCAAACAATATTGAATTCCTAATAAAATTAGTATTCTAATGCAGCTGGGGGGGTGGGGGGGTCAGACAGCTTACAAGGTAGACCAGTGCAGCTCCTAGTGTGAGGACCCATTTAGGGCCTAGGGTCTAAGCGGTGTAAAAGGCATTCCCATGTTCAGGAATAAAGAAAATAATAACAGTTTGAGGATACACATCTCAAGTGTGTGTGCCCTCTACACATGTTACAGTTCAGTGTTGAGTGTTTGGTTCGGATTATAGGTGGTTGTTTTATCAATGCACTGGTTGGAGTACTCCCCAATCTCTGATGCTAAAATCCCAACAGAGAATAAAAAATAATTCCCATTGGTATCTCACAATCAGTGTTCCAGCTATTCTGTGATCAGTAAGACAAAGAGAGACTCAGGGAAGTTTGGTTTTTGAAGATTATATGTAATTTTCTTGGACTGAACAATGTTCTTAACTATCTAGCCACAGGTTTGCCCACCTGAGTGACATGAAGCTGTATGTCGCAAAAGAATGCAAGACCAAGAAGGTGATCTGTATCAGATCTGAGGGAAATCTCTCACAGGAATCTCAAGAAACAGTAAATAGCTGCAAGATATCAGACTCGATATTTGCAAAGTATTAGTCTAGTAAGTTGCACTGGGGAAATTTCCAAAGTATGTGTAGTCATCCTCTGCAGCCAGGATTGAGTGTGTCAAACTAGTAAGACAGACAGTAAGTTAACGGATGCAGGAGGACCTTGTCTTTCTTGCCTCTACCCCCTCCCTCCACCCCAAACCAACTTCAGCCCTAGACTGAAGGAATTGTTTCAATCTTTACATGTACTGTTCCAGATAATATGCAGAACCATTGCAACAAATATAATGTACTAATTTACCTGTCCTTAAGGGCCATGGAATGAAAATAACTAAAATATATTTTTGAAAATCAAATGGATTAGAATCTAAAGCACCAAAGCAGACAATTTGGCCCAACTCGCCCGTGCACATACTGCACATGAGCCTCCATCCATCCTAAATCCCTTTCCCTAACATTCCCTCCCCACATATCCCTCTAATTGCCTTCTCCCTAATGTAAGCTAATTGCATTCTCATCATTATGTCATGGAAATTAGCCCTCAGACTTCTCTGAGATGCAAAAAGATAGCTAAACCAATTTGTCTGCAGTGGAAAGTTAAAAATGATTCCAAGTGCATCAGAGGTCACAACATCAGTTCAAGTGATCCTAGATTTCTCTCTGTCCCGTGAAAAAAAGGTGACCAATTTGGAGGAGCCAAAAAAACTGACACATATATTTTAAACTGATACGTGACTGCTTTTCTTTGTGTGAGTGGATTTTTGCAAGAATAATTTTCATACATATGCTCTCTGCAATTAGTCTGTAATTAACCTCAGCAATTCAAAGCAACTTACAGCATTGAAGATGTGCCAGACTCTTTTAGTTCAACATGAAGAGTGAGAAAGTTTCATACAGTCAATTATTCAGCTTATCTCCGTCTAGTGTATTCCTGCATGGCATATTTTACTCAGTGACAA